TGTCACGAAGCTCCGAGGTCCTGTCCCAGGCTGCTTGGCATAGATCGTAGGCCATATTCCTGAGACCGTTCGGTGCCATCTCCATGGATGGTGATGTGCATGAGTTGCTGGAAGCGATGTAAGGCCCAGTCCAGACAGAAATCCATACAGTTTCTGTAGGCCGCTTCCATGTTCTCGCAGCTTACCCACAATGCTGCGATCTGCTCTGCACGATCTCGTATCTTCTGTAGGTCAGTATCTGTGTTGTCTTCTTCCAGGTTGTCTGTACTTGGTCTGCTGGGCTCTGTCCTCGACCACGTCCCTGGTGTCGGTCTGCTCGTTGAGCTCACTGGAGTGCTCAGGGGTTCGTCAGATTCTTGTGCTTGATGCTCTCCAGGTACTGGGTATGGTTCGTGTGCCTGGTCGATCCTCTCTTGGAAGTTCGGCTGGTCACCTGCTGCTGATACCGCGTAGGTGTTCACGATCTGCTCCTCGGTGTCGATTCTCACCTTCGTCAGACTCGTGATCTCCTCCATCGCCACGTCTATGCTTGCCAGCTGGCCGCTGACAATCTGAATGGCAGTCATATCCATCGAGCTGTCCGCCATCAGCAGCTTGACCGCGGTCGCCATTGCGAATCCAGCTCGTCGTAGAAAACCTCCAGGTCGTCCGTGAAAGCCTCGTCCTCCACGTCCGCCTCCTCGTCCTCCACGTTGTAGCGTACTGGATCCACTCGCTGGTGACCTCGTCTTTTCGCACTCGGGGTCACCCTTCCAGTGACCCTTCTTGTGGCATGCGTTGCACTTCGTGCGCGCCTTGATCTGCTTCAGCTTATCCTAAGCCTCTTTGCTGTCCATCTTGATGGAGCCCTGCTTGTTGATGTTGGCTTTCCAGCCTCTAATTCGACTTGCTCTGAGCAAGCCGCTCCCGGGCCTGCTTGTAGTTGGGCATGTGGTTTCGCCGTCCAGCTTTCCAGCCAAGACGTTGAGCCTCCGTCGCCAGAGTGTCGCATTCCTCCTGGCTGATCTCTTCCGGGTCCACGTCGTCAATCACTCCCTCGAATTCGTCGATGTCCGCCGCAAGTGCGTCGTAGTCCGCATCACTCAGGAACACGTCTTCGTCGCACGGTGCACATTCGTCTCCGAGTAGAGTATATTCTTCTTCGTCGTCGTAGTCCACCGGGTAGGCTCCGTATCGTCCATGTCCACGATCGTCTCGGCCTGTGCTGTCCAGCTGCATCAGCATGGCTGCCGTCACGTCGTCCCAGACGTATTCATTGTTGCATTGGCCAAGGATTGCCTTGTGCTCTTGCATGCTGATGTTCGCTAGTTTCAGTAGAAAGTATGTCCGTAGGTCCTCGCTGACTGTCGTGTTCGTTGAAAGTGACTTGAGCCGCTCGTACTCCGTCTCTCGTCTCGATATGTAGTCCTGCACAGACTCCGTTCGATTGCGAAAACCTCGAAAGAAATACTCCTCGAACGCTTGCTGCTTCTGTAGTGGTGCGATCCTTTCGCACGCTTGTCGTACTGTAGTTACCACTAGTTTGACTGCAGCAAGTAGGTCATTACCTGCTTCGTCCAAAACTGCTTGCGTACTGGTCTCAACCTTCTTTCGTGTGAGTGTCCGCGCTCGTCCATTCAGAGAATTCTTGAGCTTGATCGCATAGAGCTTCTTGATATTATCCTCGCTCGCGTGGTAGCCGAGTATTGCACGCTCCTCGAACTCCTCACCGTAGGATGGGTCGCCGGTGTAGTGCACTACGCCCTCCTTGTCAACGAAGAGGGGGCCGTCATTGAACTGCTGCTGCTGCCTGGACGTCATCTTGATGACTGTGATGCTACTGAGCTTGTCACTGATGTAGTAGCTATCTTGATCGTTGCTGCTGTAGTTCTGCTGCTCGCCCGGGATGCTGTTGATGCAACGGTCCTCGTCCAAGTTGTTGTAGGTAATGGTTTTGAGCGTTTTGTCGATCACTGTGATCTGTTGATGAGCGCAGTGGTTAAGCACCGCGAGGACTCAAGTGAGCGCCAGCATATATCTGCACGGCCACTCTGTATGAAATCCTCGTACCGTGGACTTATTCAGCTCACGCTACCAGTGTAAATATTGATCCTTCTCTCTCCACCCACAACCTCTTGATGCAAGAAGAAATAGATAGAGTGTGATCTGATCTTATTCCGATGTCAAGCTAGACAGTCGTAGAATGCGTCCACCCTCCCGCCACAGCTGGCGGGTCCAAGCCAAAAACGGCAATAGTGAACAAGAGAGTGCAAGCATGAGCGAGCGAGAGCAGCAACATAGATAATTCTAAACATCATCCTATAACTCACATCCTTGCTAATACAACTTTCACAGTTAGGATGATGGTGATGGTAGCATTGATGGTGGTGGTGGTTGAGGTGGTGGTGATGATGGTGATGATGATACTGATGATGATGATGATGATGATGATGATGATGATGATGATGATGATGATGGTGATGATCATGACCATGCTGATACTGATGATGATGCGATTGGTGGTGGTGCTGATGATGATGCTATTGGTGATGATGATGATGCTGACGATGGTGGTAGTGTTGGTGGTGATGATAACAAGCATGGTGGCGATGACGACGAAGAAGACGACGAAGACGTTGTTGCTGCTGCGGATGCTGAAGACAATAATGATGATGGGAGGGAACTGAGACGCTCTGATTCCTCCTCCTTGTTTTTTCCAAGAAGCTGGCTCTCAGCCTGAGAGATGGGAGGAGGACGAGGGTGCTTATCAGGAAGGGAGAGCGAGGAGGAGGAGGAGGAGGAGGAGGAAGCGGGAGGAGTAGGGTAAGGTGGAGAAGCAGCAGCTGGACGATGGGGAGAGGAGGAAGACCACCTGGGGAGATCTTGCCATTCGCAGAGGGCCGTGTCCCCCCCCAATGCCACCGAGTCACCCTGACCCAACACCCGGCCGCCAGATCCGCCCGCTCGCCGGGGCCCGCCAGCCCGACCCGCCCCACAAGGACCGCCCGCCCGCCCTCGAGGTCCGCCCGCAGTGATCATCGACGCGCTGATCAAGCAAAGAGATGGCGATGGCGTGGACTTCTCGAATGCGTTCTGCTGTTTCCTCTACGTGCCCAATGCATGCCCAATGCTAGCACTCATTACCCCATGAGTCCGTCGTCCACGCCCACGGTCCCCACCACGACCAGCCAGAATCCCAATCTTGCCACGAACTTGGGTTCCTCGCCAAAAAAGTCCACGCATCATGGGGGTGAAGAGCCCGCCCGCACGCTCGCTGGAGTCCGCCCGCCCGGCGTGCCGAGTCGGGGCCTGCCCGCATGCCCCAGGGCCGATACTGCCTCCTCGCAGTCCCGCGGCCGCCGCCACGCCGACGCAGACGGTCGGGAACTTTGGCTCGGCGTGTCGCGCCACCAATTCTGGCCCACCACGCGTCGGCGCGACTCGCCAGCCGCAGCCTGGTCCCCAGGCGTCCGTGTCCCGAGCCGTTTCGAGCCCTCCGCCCTGCAGAGCGGCGCGGCACACAGTCGGCTCGCAGGGCACGGCGTGTCGCCAGGGCCGCCATCGCGTCACGCTAAGCAAAAGTTCCCGACCGTATTCCCCGCCGCCGCCCTCGAACGCAGACGACGCCGAGCATTTCGGGTTCCCGCGCGCTTATCGCACACTCCAAGTGGCCTCCTGTGCCTCGCCCGCGCCCGCGCAGCCCGCGGCCCGTCCCGCAGCGTCTGTGCCCGATGCTCCACCCGCAGACTGCACAACGCGTTCTCTGTGAGCTCATCTCCGATTTTGCTCGGGGTGTCCAACTCTGTCCTGCTCACAGTCGTTTTGATCGGCGGCGTCCGGGATCAGAGCTGCGGTCTAGCATTGGCCCGGCAGGGCCACTGCAGGCGCGAGTTGGGCACATAGGCGGCGGGGAGAATCAATAGGGCGAAGCGACCGCGGGCGACGGGGGAACCCTCAGGGCGTGGACGTCTTCGGGGTGTGCCGGAGCAGGATCGGCACGCGGTTGGCCGTGCGCCCACTTGATCGGCACGTCCTGGTACACAAGCGAGTCGTGCCACACGTCCACGTGCACAAGTGTGTCCTACCCACACGAGGCTGTCAGTCCACGTGAGGGTTGCCTGCTCTGGTACTCGTGGGTCCGCTGACTGCTTCCCCCAGCAAGCTGGAGCTGAGAAGCGTACCCATTTTACCTCGCCTCTTCCAGCTCATCTCCTTGGCTCGAAGTATGACTGATTCAGCTTGTCCTTTTCATCGTGGGTTGGGGAATTCCATCGGCCATATCACTCGGTCATTGAAGGCTAGGCCCCCGTGGCCCAAACTACAGAGACACGCCTCGAGGCCCATTGGGCTCCTGGATCCATGTTTGCTGGTCCCAGGGCCCGAGGGCACCCCCCGAAGGCCGCCGTGTATAGAAAGACGCCCGGCTTGAAAGAAAACATATCATCGGAGATTCGGGAACAGCCCTCGGAGTCGACCACTCGCCTCCGCGAGCACGCGTGCGCTTCCTCTTTTGGTCGCCGGGCCGCGGCCCTAGACGCGACCTTGGGGCCCGCCGGGGCTCTAAACGTTCGTGCGCATGGAGGAGGAGGAGGAAGGGACGAGCGGCAGAGGAGGAGGAGGAGGAGGAGGAGGAGGAGGAGGAGGAGGAGGAGGAGGGAGGAGGAGTGGAAGAGGCAGAGGGAGGAAACGGGGGAGGGGCGGGATGTTGGGGAAGGGGGGAGGAGGGAGGGCCTTGGACCTTGCTCCGATAGGCACGCCTAGCAGGGGCCCTCGTCCACAGAGTGGATCGGGGAGCTCGGTTTCACTCTTCGGCGGCAGCCACCCTTGAAAGTCGGGGCAGGACACCGAGACCCGCCTTTCGGGGCCCACAAGCGGCCTGCGCTTCAGCGCGGGCTCTCTCAACGGCAGAGTAGGAGGAAGAGGGCGGAGTGGAAGAGGAAGGAAGGAAGACGGAGGAGGCGAAGGCAGCGCGGGATGCTGGAGAGGGGAGGAGGAAGGTGGGTGGAAAGAGGGAGGGGGAGGGGCCCTTCTTGCTCCACGGACCATGGCCCTGGACCCGACCAGCCACCCGAATGCCAGCGCCCAGCGCTTCGAGGGCCTGGCGGGCAGGCTGCCCCAGCCTTCGGTCTCGCCGTGCCCGCCGCGGCCAAAGCTGCAGGGCAGGGTCGTCCAGGCAACGAAGGCCCAGGGGAGGGAAAGGCAACACAACCTATGCGTGTGCCCTCCCCTCGTCGTCCCCTCCCAGGGGGTCGAGCGTCGGCTCGAGGGAGCTCTGCACGCTGGTCCGGAGCCAGATTCGCAGGCCCGTGGACGGACCGACCGCCTTTTTTCTGCCAGGTTGCGCCGAGACACCTGCAGCAGTACAGCGCGAGAAACCGTCACCAGTATCGTCAACCCCATCGGCATCAACATCATCATCATCATCATCATCATCATCATCAACAACATCATCATCATCATAATCAGCAGCAGGATCATAATCATCATCACCATCATAATCTGCATCACCATCATCATCAGCATCATCATAATCATACATGTTTAATCGTGCTCACCAGCATCGTCAGCATCATTGTCATCATCAGAACCATCATCAGTATCACCATCAGCATCAGCATTATCATCAACATTATCATCAGCATCAGCAGTAGCATCCTCATCATCATCATCATCATCATCCTCATCCTCATCCTCATCCTCATCACCATCATCGTCATCGTCATCATCAGCATCATCATCAGCAGCATCACCATCACAATCACGATCATAAGCAATACCATCAGCAGCACTATCATCGACATCATCAACATCATCACCATCATCATCGGCATCGTCATCGTCATTGCCATTACCATCGTCATCATCGTCGTCGTCATCGTCATCATCGTCCTCGTCATCATCACCATCATCATCATCCTCATAAGTATCGCCCTCGTCGCCACCATCATCAACATCATCATTGTCAGCATGCCCATCATCATGCCCATAATCATCAGCCTCATCATCATCAGCGTCATCATCATCATCATCATCGTCATCATCACCGTCATCATATTGGCCCATGGAGATGATAAACACTGGTTTCCTCACGGCGGGGGAGGCTGAACAGTTTTACGAAGGGGCGACGAGGGTGGGGCACGGAGGGGGCCCACGACGGGGGGGGGCACGATGGGGGGCCCCAAGGGAAGGCCGCCATGGAAGGCCACGACTGGCCACCGATCTGTCGGCACGTGCGCGAAACACTTAGATCGACCTTGATACTTATATGCTGATGTATATGTTATGGCTGCATGCCATGTGTACCCATGCATGCAGGCTTACACTAAACACGCCTGTTTGTTATATACATGTGTATATAAATATGTATATGCGTACATACATTTGTGCATATGTATACAGATATATATATATATATGTTTATAGACTTGTGTGCGTATTCGTATTTCCCCCTTCTAGACAAGCTCTTTAGAGGAGACAGCAAGACATACGTGTTCCCCCCCCCATCGTCGTCACTTGCTTAGTATGCCTTTTGAGGAGGCGGCACTTGTCGTCACGGTTTCATTCGCCTCGGAGTCCAGGTCAGATCGCATTTTGTGAGTGGGAATGGCGATTTCGTTCCCACGAAGGTAGAAGAGGTGACATTTCCTAGCCTTCTGCGGCTTTGCCTCTGGTACGACAAGCCTCTGGTCGTGTGCTGCCTGGCCAACACACCCTTCAGGCCGGTCTTGCGGAGCATCTTCCTGAAGGTCACGGAGCCGTTTCTGGACCGCGCCGTGTTCGTCCTTGCGGAGGATCCTGACTTGTACGAGTACGCCATCACTCAGCACATCAACACGCTGAAGGGCACCAGGGTTGCATACTACGCCGACCACGCGATGCGGGCCCTCAACCCGACGGACTCGTTCAACTGGGACCCCATAAACCACCGCTTGGACGACCAGGCCGGCATCACCAAGTTCCTCGAGGATCGGAGGACGCAATTCAGATATGCACGTGGCTCTGATCATGGGCAGGCGCTGCGCTTTCTCTTGAACTGTTCTGGTCGTGCACCCAGGTATTGACATGCGCCTCGAGCCAGCAGAACGTATTCGGCCGATGTGTCGTGCTGACACGGCGCAATTGATCGGTCAATTCGTTGATCATGGCCAGACCAATCTTGGGGCCCAGGATGGGCCCCGACGGGATCGGTGGCAGGTGCAGGGCTCCCAGACCTCCGAGGACTGGATGCTCTCAAGTCCTGGGGTCCCAGACCTCTCGGTTGGCCCCTCCCCCGCGCCCAGGCGTTGCATGCCGGGCCGGTTGTCTCCACGGTCTCGGGAGGCCGAGAACGCCGAACAGCCTCGGCTATGTTCTATAGTCTCTGCACCGGGGTGCGCGGGCTCGGGCTCAGGTTGCGCCTCGGGCCCCGGCTTGGGCTTCCGGGCCACGGCTCGGGCCTGCGGCCAGGGCACCCTCCAGAACGCTCCCGGCGAGGCGCTGCATCCCGAGGCGATGAACCTCCAAGAACCAGCCAGCAGTTCCGAAAGCTCTCGAGACTCTAGAGGTCTGGAGGTCTTTCGAGTCTCTCGAGGCCCCCGACGTCGCAACATCTCACCACGCGGACTCCTGGACGTCTATCGGCGGCGATCCCAGGGGGAAACAAGAAGGGGCGTGGGCCCTCTCAGAAGGCCAGGAAGTCTTCTGGGCTTCCGGGAAAATTTCTGAGGAAGCCGACCCGCAGCTGGGCCGCGGCCCGCCGCGTCGGCCTGACGTCCTTCCCAGGCCTCCTCGCGCCGCGAAAGAATAGAGACGGGCGGTGTGTTGTGCTCCTATCGCATCCGCGATGTTGTTCACAGCACGAGGGGGTCAGGGGACCTGTTCACAGCACGAGGGGGTCAGGGGACCGACGTCCTCCCTGGAGGAGCGCCTTCTCCTGGCCTTGTCCTCTCCGTCCCTGTCCTCGCTTCGTCCTCCCTGTCCCTGACCCCTGTCTGGGGGCCGGCGCCCTCCCTGGAGGAGCGCCTTCTCCTGGCCTCGTCCTCCCCGTCCCTGTCTTCGCTCCGTCCTCCCTCTCCCTGACCCCTTTCGGGGGGCCGACGCTCTCCCCGGAGGAGCACCTCCTCCTGGAGGCCACGCGCCGCGACACCATCGTGCCCTGCGCCGGCTCGGAGGGCGAGGCGGCGCGCCGGAAGAGGCGCCCGAGCCGAAAGAGGGCGAAGGCGATGCTGAAGGAGCGGGCCGGTGACGACGGCGACGACGTTGGCGACGTCGGCCCTCCTCCTCCCCGGAGATCCGGGCGTTGCAATTCATTCAGAACGGGCGGTTGGGCTCTCGACCCGGCTCGGAAAAAATTCACCAGAGAGCTTGCCCCTTTGTGCGCGCCGCCAGGTGTGGCTGCCTGGTGGAGCGAAGTGCCATGGCTTGACCAGGTCGCCACGCTCGCTCGACTTCGAACTCGAACCCTCCCTGCTCCGCTGATTGAAACGGCGGCATCGGCGCCTGGTCGCTGCCCTTGCGCACGCCGAGCTCTTTCCCCGCTCCTACCCCGGAACCCACCCACCCCTGTTCCTCTCGGGCGGCGTGCGCTTAGGGGGGCTGGCCGGCGACCTCAGGCGGGGCGAAGAGAAGAGCCCCTTCAGGGCCCCTTATCTCCAGCCCCCATTGAAGTCACCCCCCCTTGCCAATCGCCCGACCCTCCCCGCCCCCCCCCCCCCACCCCCACCCCACTTGCGCCCGAGGAGAAGGGCGAGGGCTCCCTCCCGCCCTCCCCCACCCTCCCTCGGGCTCGGCCCCCTGCCCTCGCCCCTTGCCTCATCTCCCCCTCCAGTCCTCGAGCTCGCTGCTCTCCAGTCCTCCATCCTCCTCCTCCGCCCCTCGGTTCTCTGCTCTCTGCCCCCCTTCCCCCATCATCTTCCATCCCTCCTCCGTCCCCCCCCCTTCCTGACTCCATGCTCCCTCTGCTGGAACAGCCTGCCGGCGACGACGACGACGACGTCCTCTCGGAGGTTTTCGGTCGTTCCCCGGCGTGGTGGTCGCCACGGCTGGACGCGGCCCCGTGAATCGGCCAGGATGGACCCCTGGATGGACCCTCGGAACCGGTCGACGACAACGACGAGGTCAGTGCGTGTTTCGACTACACGTAAGGGTGACCTTTCGACGGAGTGACCTTTGCTGCGGGCTCATCGGGCTCCCCCCGATCGCCGAGCGCGATGCGATATAAGCGCCCCGCGCCCTTGAACTTGGCTCTCTCGCGCCCCCAAAAGCTGCGCACCAAAGGTCACTCTTGCCCAGGGTCACTTTGACGCCTAGCCGAGTGTTGAACCATGTGTTCCCCCACGAGTGACTGTCCGCAGAGACAGAATAGCCTGGCGCACGGCGCATGCATAGCACGACTGCTCCTGGATGCGGCTGCATACCTTTTGACATGGAGGCTTTTTGTGCCATCCGTGCCCTCTTCATTTTTCAAGCAGTGGCGAAGCGTCCCGGATTGCCTAAGCCAGCCGAAGAACATGATATTCTGTGGTTTACACACAATGTTCTTGCAACATTTCTGGTTGAGGCAGGTTTGGTTGAACCAGTCGATGCGATGTTCTGAGAACGTTGGTTTCGCGGCTTGAATTTTTTTCGGTTGTAATACTAGTTCGCGGCAAGCCTGAAGGGATGCTGGGACGGTCGGTCTCTGCTCAAACGTTGGGCGTTCCCAGTAGTTCTCGTTGCCACGGCTGCACGCGGCTGGTGGGCCGCGAGAAGACAGTGCTGGGCACTGGTGTGGAGCGCATCGGTGTCCCTCCGACGTCGTCGGCAAGTCTTCACGATTCGCGTTTCCCCACCAGCGCCCCGCCCTGCGGGGGCGTTCGGGGCTCCTCCGTTCTACCCCATGGTGGCCTGGGGCCCGCGGCCTGCGGGCTCCCTGCCTCGGCTGGCCCTCCCCTGCGCCCTGTTCGGGGGCCCCCGCCTCGCTCGTGTGCCCCCCCGCCTCCTCCCGGGCGGCCGGCGTGGGCCTTCTCTTCTGTCCATCCCCGCACGGGGTCGACGGACGCCTGGTCCTCCGCCACCGCGCTGCTCGTCCGGCCGTCCTCAAGCTGTGCCCTCCCGCCATTGGCGGCGCCGTCTGTTCGCACCCGCCCTGGCAGCACCCCCGACACCTCCCGGTGTCTGGCGATCCGGATCTTTTCCGTTGAGCGCCCGCATGCCTGGTCGATTCCTCCCAGACGTTGGCCTGCTGCCCCTCGTTCCGCGTCCCTCGGCCTGCCGTGGGCTTGCTGTACGTCGTGGTGGCGGTCATCCTCGTCATGGACGTGGTGTTGGCCCACCCGAATCCCACCACTTTGGTGCTGCACGTCGCCCGGAAGGACTTCCTGGCGTGCGCTTTCCTGTGAGCGGCAGCGAGGCTCGCCTCCTGTTTGCCTCCCCCTTGCTTGGTCTTGTCTCTGTTCGCCTTCTTCGACCCGTGGGCTAATTTAGGCCGTCGCCCCTGTGCTTCGCCCCTTGACGCCGCTTGACCTTCTCGCCGCGGTCGCGATCAAAAAGTTCCCCCACCAGCCCATTCAGAGACCCCTCCCCAAAAAAAGAGGGTTTTGAGAAGAGGAAAGGATTATATCGCTAGAGCACCTTAGCCCACAAGGCTGGTGGGATTGAGTTGATCGACGACTCGTTTGTTCCGTGGTCTTCGGCGTCCAGAGGCCGTTTTCGAACCCCGCGACCGTCGGAAATCTATCGGGCACGAAAAACTAGCCAGGGGGGTGCTGAGCGCTTTTTCATCCGACTGACAGGCCAGTCCAAGTCCAGGCAGGTAGGGAGCTTGATGCCCCTGGACCAGGCCAGGGGCCAGTATTTCGATCCAGTGGTTCCTGTCCGTCGATCCCGGGCCGTTCGGTCCGATTCGATTCCGATGTTCCATTGATCCGATGCGGCACGATTTTTGCATGCTGTCGCCGTGCATCCAGGCGCGGCTGAACCTGTTCGATTTCGACCCTGTGCCGATGCGGCCTGGCCCGACGCACATTCCGATCCGATTTCTTAATTACGATGTTGGCAGATCCTGCCCCCGGACTGGGTTCATGCCAGGGCCAGGTCGGTACAGTCGAAATGGGCACGGGAACCATGGGGACGAAAACCGACAATCGTTCCTGCCTGTTTGAACAGGATTTGCTGCCAGTGTCGCCGCGGACGTTGTCGACTTGAGACAACGACCCCAGCAAAACACCTTAATAGCAGCAAAGGTGAAGATGCGGGTCGAGGAGTCGGAGTTCGGATAGCGAAACGTGCCGCGACGTGGGTGAGAGCACGTTCGTATGCCTGTTCGTGTTATTTGGATCGTGGCCACCCAGTCCAAGCATGCGGTTGGCACTGAGGCCAGGGCAAGGGCACGATGTCTGAACAAAGCGTGAGGAACTATTCGACGAAACGGCTGCAGTCCTAGGCGATATCGGGTTCCCCTTTCGCCTTGTGGGACTCTTCAATGGTCTTTCTCTAACTTTATGGGATGCCTCTAGCGAAACGCCGCTGGGGAAAAAAACGCGTGCCCGACGGTGGGCGCTGTCGGGTTTGGGCAACATTTGCTCCTGGGCAGCGTAGCGTTGTGTTGTCCGTGGTCCCGCCGGTGGCCTTCAAAGTTGAACGCCGCTGGCGATTTAGAATCGGTCGAGCTTGAACGATCTGACGTTTCAGAAACGGCCGATCGCTCAAGGTTGAGCGGTCTCCGCGGTGCCAGGAACCAACGCCAGAGTCGACACGACGCGAACTCGCGCTACCCATGTTGGGCGTGCCAGGCCGGAGAGGTTCCGGCTCGGGAGAGGTTCGCGTTCACGGAGACTTCTTTGGCTACGGGTGGCCCGGGTCCGGGTTCGCGGGAGGCGCGGGCCGCTGGCAGGCCAGGCGTTGGTCCAGGCCGAAGGGAGATCCACACGCCGCCCTCTTCCCTCTTCCACCTCCTCCCCCTCCCCCTTCCGTCCTCCATGTTCTCAAGAAGTTTATCATCCCCTTCTCCTCCTCCGCCTCTTCCTCTACCTTTTCGACCTGTTTGCTCGCAGTAGTTAGATCGATTGCAAGAAGGTGCCTCTCGCGCGTCATGCAGTTGAGCGCGGCTTGCTCTTGCAGAGGCTCCCCAGGCGACAAGGCATATCACACAACAGGCGCCTACGAAAATTATGCCACGGACAGCAAGACGCAGCAGCAGCAGCAGCAGCAAATAATTGTCCTGCCTCCACCGTCCCAAAAATCTCCCCCACCTGAAACCTCCTTCCTCTCCTTCTCCCGTCACATCAACCCTCATCCTCCTCCCCATCCTCCCCCTCCCCATCCTTCTGCTGCTGCTCCTCCTGTTTCTCTTCCTCCTTCTCCTTCTCCTCCTCCTCTTCCTCCTCCTCCCCTCCTCCTCCTCCTCCTCCTCCTCCTCCTCCTCCTCCTCCTCCTCCTCCTCCTCCTCCTCCTCCTCCTCCTCCTCCCTCTCATCCTCATAGTCCTCATCGTTTTCCTCCTGCGCCTGCCTCCTCCGCCTGCTTCTCCTGTTTCTCCCGCTCCTCCTCACCGTCATTATAGTCATTATCCTTGTCCTCATCCTGCTTCTGATCCTCCTATTCGTCGTCCCACTTCTCCCCCGAAGGAGGCGGCGAAGGGCGAGCTGCCCCTGCCGCCGCGACCAGCCACGCCGCTGCAGGCCAGGCAGATGAAAACGCACGCCAGCACAAAGACAGCGTCGCAGTGGCTGCGAGGTGGAAGCAGCATTGCCTCTGCTTCGTCTTGATCAGGGCACCGCTGCCCCTCTTCTCGCCAGCCCTCTCCTCCCGCCCCCTCCCTCCCCTCCTGTTTCCGACCTCCTGTCTCCTGCCTGCTCTCCACTTCGCGTCCCTTGGTGCTACCAGCTGCAGCTGCGAAAATGCCGGTACCTGCGTAAGCTCCTTCGGTGTCCACCGGAGTGACGTCTCATCTGACCGGGCCACCGCGGAAGGTCATCATATTAAGGATGTGTTGCGCCCCGTCGTCATCATCACCACCATCATCATAATCATCATCATCAGCATCATCATCGTCGTCATCCTTTTCATCATCAGCAGTTTCGGCTCCCCCACGCGACGCGATCAGCAGTTTCGGCCCCCTGACGCGACCAGTCCTTCCCGCCATGTCCAAGAGAGAGGAGGTGAGGCAGCGCAGGCCCCACCAGCGAAGAGGGCCACCGCTGCCCCTGGGGCGCCGCCCCGCGCTCTGGCACCCGTGGCTCCGCTGTGCATCACGCGTCTCCTCGAGACGGAGAGCGGCTCGATGCAGCGGGGTCAGTTGGCGCAGGCTTCTTGCGGGAGCGCAAGGGCGAGTTGTCATTCGCGTTGCCGCAGAATTGTTCTATGATTCCTCCGTTGGCCATCACTCGAGCTGCTTCTGGCGCTTCCCTCAATGCGTTTCGTGAGGTGATGAACTACGACAACCTGCTTGCGAGCTTTTTCTTGGGCCGGGCAGTACGAAGCAGCCGGGACGGTGCGGACGGTGGATCCGACTTGTTCCGACATCGATGATGTCATCATAAGCCAGTTGGAGGGTGCCATGGGGATGTGGGCTGCGGAGACGCACCTCCTCTCCTCCAAGAACGCAAAGTTGCGGCGCTTCTCCTTCGACGTGCCTCTCCCCGTCCAGGCGGTCGAAGCCAAGGTGGCGCAGCGCGCTGAGCCTGGCGAGGCCGGAGCCTGCGCGACCGAGCCTTTACTATGTTCGCGGGGCGCGCGGTGGCGATCGCGCGGTTCTCCGCCATGGGCGAAGCGCTCCAGCAGTCCAATCATGACCGCGCGCGGTATGCGCCCATAAGGATGCGTTTGCTGCCCGACGGCGACGCGAGCCACTTGGCCGCCCTGACCTTCTCAGAGACGACGTTCGCTTCGCGCGCTGCCTCTGGCGCGGCTTCCTTTTGGAGGTTCGCCGACAAAACGTGCCGGTCGGGTATATGCTGGGCGAAAGGCACGCGCGCGACTTCCGCGCGATGGACCTATATCTGCTCGAGCGGGTGGCCAACGCAGTCCCTCTTGGGGTGCCCCCGCCGCCGCTGGTCCAGATGAGCCTGCAGCTCGTCCTCCTCCGCGCGCTCCGCGTTGACGTCGGGCGCCTCGTCCGCCGCGGCGACGTCAACGTCGACAACGACGACGACGATGATGACGACGACGACGATGACGATGACGATGACGACGACGACGGCGACGACGGCGACGTCGACGACGCCGACGACGACGTCGACGACGACGTCGACGACGACGACGGCGACGACGATCTTTGCGTGCAGTCCCAGCGCGCACACAGGCAGGGGGGGGGGGCGCGCGCGGGCGACTGCGCTGACGAGAACGACCGCGCCAGAGGCAGCGACGTCAGCTCTCTATCACCGTACTTGTCGCATGACCAGGAGGCAACCCACCTCCTCCACGTGCGCCAGGCGCAAACACCCTCTTTCGCGGAAGTGCTGGCCCCGGGCTTTTTGCTGACCCAAGGTGAGTTCGAATTTGAGGCCGTATCGCAAAACAGCCAGAGCCAGCAAGGGCACGTCTGCAAGGAGGGGCTCTTCGCTAAGATGGTCCAACACGTCCCGCGCGCACCCGAGAGCGCGCAACACGGGCCCGCCGCGCACGCCAGAGGCAGTGAGCGCAGCGCTCGTCGGCCCATCCTTGCACAGCGCGTCCGCCGCAATCACGCGAGCGGAATGCCAGCAGCCGGGGCCCCATCGCCGCACGCGACACAGAAGTTAGCCGCGCGCTCTTCGCGAAGCCAGGCACAGCCTCACTTGATCAGGAAGCGGCAACAACTCCACGAGAGCATCAAGCGGCAACTGCCACATGATCAGCGGGCGGCGCGTGGCGCCCAGGCGACCGGCGGCCCAACGCCGGCGCCGCACGCGCGAACCAGAGGACCCTGCCCTGCGGCACGTGCGTTGTGACGTTCTACGGCGCGCGCCGCTGCATGCGAGGCCCATTCGCAAAAGGCGATGACGACGATTATGAAAACATTATGATATTGACGGCGGCAATGATGATGATTATGGTGATGATGATGCGGATGATGATGATGATGATGATGATGATGATGATGACGATGATGATGGTGGTGATGATTACCTCCTGATGATGATGGTGATGATTACCTCCTCCGTCATGCACGCAGGGCCCCCTGAGCGGACGACGCGCCTGCCGACAAAGATGCGATGGCCGCGCTTGGCAAACACGCGCGGAACCGCTCGGTCCGAACAAACCTTCGTCATCAGCACTGTCATCGCCATGGTCATGGTCATCGTCCCACATGTAGACAGGACCATCCCAAAAGTAGGCAGGACCATCCAAAAAGTAGACAGGACCATCCCAAAAGTGGACAGGACCATCCCAAACAGTAGACAGGGCCATCCCAAAAGTAGACAGGGCCATCCCACAAGTAGACAGGACCATCTCAAAAGTAGACAGGACCATCCCAGAAGTAGACAGGACCACCCCAAACGTAGACAAGGCCATCCCGAAAGTAGACAAGGCCATCGCAAAAGTAAACAAGACCACCCCAAAAGTAGACAGGACCGCCCCACAAGTAGACAGGACCGCCCCACAAGTAGACAGGACCATCCCACAAGTACTAGGACCACCCCAAAAGTAGACAAGACCATCCCAGAAGTAGACAGGACCGTGCCAAAAGTAGACAGGACCATCCCAAAAGTAGACAGAACCACCCCAAAAGTAGACAAGGCCATCCGAAAGGTAGACAGCACCATGCGGAAAGTCGACAGGACCGTCCCAAACGACTAGACGGGACCATCCCAAAAAACAGACATGACCATCTCAACAGTAAACGGGACCATCCCAAAAGTAGTAAGGATCATCCCGCACGTAGACAGGACCACCCCAAAAGTAGACGGGACCATCCCAAACGTAGACAGGGCCATTCCAAACGTATACAGGACCATTCCACAAGTAGACAGGACCACTCCAAACGTATACAGGACCATCCCACAAGTACACAGGACCATTCCAAACGTAGACAGGACCATCCCAAAAAGTAGACAGAACCATCCCAAGAATAGACATTGTCGCCCCGGACGTAGACAGGACAATCCCAAAAGTAGACAGGACCATCCCAAAAGTAGACAGGACCACCCCAGAAGTAGACAGGACCATCGCAAGAGTAGACAGGACCATCCCGAGAGTAAACACGACCATGCCAAACGTAGACAGGATCATGCCAAAAGTAGACAGGACCACCCCAAAAGTAGACAGGACCATCCCAACAGTTAAGAACCCCAAGAGTAGACAGGACCACCCCAACAGTAGACAGGACCATCCCAAAAGTAGACAGGAACAGCCCAAAACTAGGCAGGACCACCCCAAGAGTAGACAGGACCATCCCATTCGTTGACAAGACCATCCCAAAAGTAGACAGAACCATCCCAACAGTGCACAGGACCGCCTTGAAAGTAGACAGGACCACCCTAAAAGTAGACAGGGCCATCCCAAAAGTAGACAGGACTCCCAAAAGTAGACAGGACTGCACCACAAGTAGGCAGGACTACCGCACAAGTAAACAGGACTACCCCAAAAGTAGACAGGACCATCCCAAACGTATACAGGACCATCCCACAAGTAGAGAGGACCATTCCAAAAAGTAGACAGGACCGTCCAAAAAGTAGACAGAACCATCCCAAACATAGACATGGTCACCCCGGACGTAGACAGGACAATCCCAAAAAGTAGACAGGACCATCCCAAAAAGTAGACAGGGCCATTTGACAAAGTAGACAGGACCATCCCAAAAGTAGACAGGACCATCCCACACGTAGACAGGATCATCCCAAAAATAGACAGGACCATCCCAAATTTAGACAGGACCATCCCAAAAGTAGACAGGACCATCCTGAAAGTAGACAGGACAACCCCAAACGTAGACAGCCCCATCTCAAAAGTAGACAGGATCATCCCAGAAGTAGACAGGACGACCCCAATAGTAGACAGGACCGTGTCAGAAGTAGACAGGACCATCCCAAAAGTAGACCAGGCCCATCCCAAAATAAGAATGGACAACCCCAAGCGTAGACAGGACCGTCCCGAAAGGATACAGGACCATTCCAGAAGTAGACAGCACCATCCAAAAGTAAACAGGACCATGCGACATGTGGACGGACCATCCCAAAAGTAGACGGGACCATCCCAAAAGTAGACGGACCATCCCACTGGTAGACAGGACCATTCCAGAAGTAGACAGCACCATCCCAAAAGCACACAGAACAATGCGAAAAGTGGACGGGACCATCCCAAAAGTAGACAGGACCATCCCAAAAGTAGACAGGACCATCCCAACAGTAGACAGGACCATCCCAAAAGTAGACAGGACCATCCCAACAAAAGGCAGGGCCATCCCAACATTACACAGGACCATCCCAAAAGTAGACAGGACCATCCTCAAGAGTAGACACGATCATCCCAACAGTAGACAGGACCATCCCAAAAAGTAGACAGGACCATCCCAAAAAGTAGACAGAACCATCCCAAAAGAAGAGGGTCCATCCCAAAAGTAGACGGGACCATCCCCCCCCCCAAAAAAAAAATAACAGGACAATCCCAAAAGTAGACGAGACCATCCCAACAGAGGGCATGACCATCCTAACATTACACAGGACCATCCCAGAAGTAGACAGGACCATCCTCAAAAGTA